CAATCTTTTTTGATACTAAAATAATCCATAGGTTCCAAGGCAACAGACCATAACATTGGGCAGGATGGGAAGATGAGTACTGTTACTATAGAAGAATGTTGAAAATCAATGGAAAGTCAGGGTGCCTCTCTATTTTGGTTCCAGTCTGATTTGTGTATAAAGTGTCCTATGGTAGAAAGGTATTTAAGTTTCCTTTTTCCATTGTTTTCATACTGTCTTGCTCAAATGAATTATACCAAAGATTTTAAGTAAAGTAGACTAGTTAGGAAACTAAGTACAGTTGTAACCTGGTTGCAAAACCATCTGGTATGTTTCCAAAGGCTATTATTATATTTCATGGACTTATATTACTTCAGATACTCTAACAGTCCCATGTGGGCTTAAAAAAAAATAACATAAAATTCAGCCAGTTTCTGCTTACTTTAGATCTTCTAGATGTATCCCTTATAAGAAGAGTGCCTCAGAGTATAAGCACATTTTCTGTCAATCAACACAATGAGTTTTATGAAATGACATAAAACATTCACTAGATTTTTTTTTTTAAATTTTAAAACATTTTATTGATTTGTTTTCAAAAGGATAATAAGTTCCTTTGTAACAAATTGCTACTTGATATTGTTTCACTGAAAATCAGTAAAATGATAGCTAGGCTCTCCATTTTAAAAAAAACTAATAAAATACTAGATGTACAGTATTATATATCATTACTACAAACGCATAATTTTTGTGATATTCTACAAAAGCATGTTGTGAAGCTCTAAAAGCTCTCTGGTAGAATCCCAATCTGGATATAAAAAAAATAAATAAATAAATAAATAAAAGCTCTCTGGGCAATGTGGTTATAGTGGGAAAAAGCACTGAACCTCACTCATTCAACAAGCATTTGTTAAAAATCTATGTCCCAACTGACACACAGTTGATGAACACATGTTCAGGGAAGGAAAAAGATATAAACAAGCTATTACAATACAATGAGATATATGCTATAATGCAGATAACATACAAAATGCTATGTTTACTAAGGTTTAAATAACTCTAGTTGGAGAAATTTAAAAAGTTCTCATGAAGGGCATGACCTTCAACTATGTTTTGATTGCTAAATTTGCCAAATGACTGGTATGGTAACTTATTGCTAAGGCAGAGAGTAATGAAAGAAAATGGTATGTTTAATAGTGAGATGTTTATGTTTAATAGTGAAAAATTTAGCGGACGGAGGTAGGGCATAATGAAAAAGCAGGTCTTGCAGTTTTAGAAGTAGGTGGGACCAAAATGTAAAAGGCTAGTTAGTAGCTAAGTAACCTCAGAAAAGTAATTTAATCTCTCACCATCAGTCTAAAAATAAAACAATCAAATGAAACATGCACTACCAACATGGACTATTAAAAATGATCAATTGAAGAATCTAATGAGATAATGTATGTGGAAAAAGTTTATAAATGACAAAGTAGGATATGAATATAACTTATTTCATATGGTTTCTTGAAATTCAAGGTATTGCTTGTATTAATGGGGAAAAAAATCAACTGAGATAAGAATATTTATATTTCTGAAATTGAGTATAATAACTAAAAGTTAAGAATTTCAAATATATATTCAAGCTCCCCAAGAAACTATTAACTGAATATTAAAATTCAAACAAAACAGGTTAATCAGCAGGGAGAAACAAAGTAAGCAGATGAAATCCTTCAGTAACAACTTGCAGTGCAACTCATTTTCAAGTAAAATGGGATTTCTAGGCAGAAAAGGGCAGCAGGATGTCAGTAGCTTAGCCACAGAACTGAATCACTCAGATTGAAGAAAAACACCTGCAGGGAGTGATGTGTTCTGGGACTTAAATCTAGTTGTAGTCCTATAGTATCAGTTATATATATGTAAATCTGATCTGCTAATGTGCAAATAGGGTAATGTAACTTGAGAAAAATTTTAATTCTGGATTTGGCTAGATCAGATTATGATTAGCTGTAGGACTTCTAGTTGAACTGCAAGTATGTTAAATGGTCATGTTTTTGTGATTTTACTCTTGTTTTCTTTCCTTTTCTTTTTCGAGACAGGGTCTCGCTCCATTGCCTGGGCTACAGTGAACTAGCATCACCGTAGCTCACTGGAACCTCATACTCCTGGTCTCAAGTGATCCTCCTGCATCAGCCTCCCAGAATGCTGGGATTACAGCCATGAGGCACCACACCTGGCCTTAACCTGTTTCTTTTATATGAATTATCCAAATGCCTTACAGCCTCACTAGGTAAATAATTATTACATGGTTAAGCTAATTAGTTTCACAAATAGAGAATATAGTATCTTAAGTTGTACAAAAACTAATTCGTGTTTATAAATTGAATGTTGATGTTCTATAGTATGAAATCATACAGTCATATGCTATATATTTCAGTCAATGATGGACCACATATAAGACAGTGATTCCATAACAGAAAACAGAACTAAAAAATTCCTACTGCCTAGTGATGTCTTAGCCTTCCTAATGTAGCACAACACATTACTCATGTGTTTCTGATGATGCTGGTGTAAACAAACCTGTGCTGTCTCCACAGTTATCAAGTATTGTACATAATTATATGTGCTATACTTTTATACAGTAATTCTTTTTTATTTTTTTTGTGAGACAGAGTCTCACTCTGTTGCCCAGGCTAGAGTGCCGTGGCGTCAGTTTAGCTCACAGCAACCTCAAACTCCTAGGCTCAAGCAATCCTTCTGCCTCAGCCTCCCAAGTAGCTGGGACTACAGGCACACACCACCATGCCGGGCTAATTTTTTCTATATATTTTTAGTTGGCCAATTAATTTCTTTCTATTTTTTTTTCTTAGTAGAGACAGGGGTCTCGCTCTTGCTCAGGCTGGTTTCGAACTCCTGACCTTGAGCGATCTGCCCGCCTAGGCCTTCCAGAGTGCTAGGATTACAGGCGTGAGCCACTGCACCCGGCTACAGTAATTCTTATCACTATTTTAGAGTGTACTTCTACTTGTAAAGAAAAAAAAAAAAGTATAAAACAGCCGCAGGCAGGTCCTTCAGGAGGTATTCCAGAAGGCATTGTTACCATAGGAGAGGACAACTCTGTACATATTATGTATTCCCCTTGAAGACTTTCCAATGGAAAAAGATGTGGAGGTGGAAGACAGTGATATTGATGATCCTGACCCCGTGTAGGCAATGTGTGTGCTTGTGTCTTACATTTTAACAAAAAACTTTAAAAAGAAAAAAAAAAATTAAACAGGAAAAAGGTTATAGAATATGGATATAAAGAAAGAAAATATTTTTTGTAAATCTGTACAATGTGCTTGTGTTTTAAGCTAATTGTTACTTTATACACTTTTTTATAACTTCTTGATTCTTTTATAGTACCAGTGTTTATAAAGTCTACAGTAGTGTACAGTAATGTCCTAAGCCTTCACATTGACTCACTACTCACTCACTTACCCAGAGCAACTTCCTGTCCTGTAAGCTTCATTTATGGTAAATGCCACATACAGGTGAACTATTTTTTATATACCACGTATTTATACTTTTTTGCTGTTCCCTTTCTATGTTTGGATATGTTTAGAGACACAAATACTTATCACTGTATTATAATTGCCTGTAATATTCAGTACAGTAACATGCTGAACAAGTCTACAGCCTAGGAGCAATAGGCTAACCTATACAGCCTAGGTATACAGTAAGCCATGTCAGCTAGGTTTAAGTACACTCTATTATGTTTCCACAACAACAAAATTATCTAACAACTCATTTCTCAGAACATATCCACATGACTGTATAAAATGATGATTTAAAAACTAGTAAAAACACAAATCTTAATGGGTAAGAATTCTTCAAAAATGGAGTATTATGATTCAATGTTGTTTAGTTGGTGTTAATTCTTTAGTAACATGACCATGGCTTGCTTTAACCCTTCTTGAATGATTTGCTAAATGCTTTATTGCCCATTTCTACTTCTCAAAAAAGTAACTACTTTATCTTTTCTTTCTTTCTTTTTTTTGAGACAGTGTCTCGCTTTGTTGCCCAGGCCCAGTGAGTGCCATGGCGTCAGCCTAGCTCACAGCAACCTCAAACTCCTGGGCTTAAGCAATCCTGCTGCCTCAGCCTCCCAAGTAGCTGGGACTATAGGCATGTGCCACCATGCCCGGCTAATTTTTTCTATATATATTAGTTGGCCAATTAATTTGTTTCTATTTATAGTAGAGACGGGGTCTCACTCTTGCTCAGGCTGGTTTTGAACTCCTGACCTCGAGCAATCCACCCGCCTCGGCCTGCCAGAGTGCTAGGATTACAGGCGTGAGCCACTGCGCCCGGCCTATCTTTTCTATGTTATCCATCAACATTATCACTATATGTAGAAGACACAGGAAAGTATAGATTGCAACATACTGTTATCTAAACCTTAGAAATGACCTTAAAATGGAAATATTTTTTTCCTGCTAGATGCCCTCTTTACATAGAAGCTGAATAAACAATTATCCAATTACGAGATCTCACATGGCAGTACAAGAGATTTTGTATTTGAAAATAGTAAAAGATACACGGATTCTACACATTTTCAATTATTAAAAGTGTACTTTGTATATGGATACCTCTTCACAACTAGTATATTAATTTTATTCCCTGACATACTGGGGGAGGAAGGAAAAGTGTTGTTTTTCAATAAAATCATCATCTGAGCTTTGATGTTCACGAAACTTTTTTTTGATTTGGTGGTGAGCTTCCTCTGCTAAATATTTACCGAGCACCTTTGTGTGCCATTTGTTATTTGACCAATCATAAAATTTCTTTAAAGTTTGGCAGATTGTGAGTTTTGTTTTGGGTCTAAGTTTGTTTATTCTTTTCAAACTGCATGTGACATAATGAAAATATATGAGTTCCTAGGGCTCCAGTTAAATAAAATTTTACCAAATTTATTATAAAGAGTAAAGTAGCAAGACTAGCTCCCTATATATCCCTGGTCACAGAAAATATTACGGTAACATTATATTAAATTTCATTCTACTTACCTACCTAGGGCCTGGTTTAAGGCCCTATATGCTTGAATTTCATACCACTGACGGCCAGGTAAAAGACCTCTCAATTTTGAATGGTGGTCATTATATTGTCGCTTTAGTTCAACCTGGTAATTTAAAAATATATTAAAAACATAGATAATTAAAGCTCATTTTATATATATTAACTTCTAACAGTCTGAATATATTTTGTTTTTCAGCACTGATTTTTCTCAATTTCATTTAAAAGTTTTATTCATCTTTACATTCCTTAAATTCTCTCATGTGTATAATTAACTGTGTGATGTCAAACAGTTTTGTGGAGATATAATTCATATATAGTAAGTTTCACACACTTTTCATTGTACAAGTAGATGAGTTTTGAGAAATGTATAGTCAGAGAACCACTATCATAATATAGAACATTTTTATCACCCCCAAAAGTTCCCTCCTATTCCGTTTCAGTCAATTTCCTTCCTCCACTGCTGGCTCTAGTAACCACTGATCTGTTTTGTTTTACTGGTTACAGGATTTCATGTAAATGTTATCATAGAGTATGTAATCATTTATATCTGTCTTTTTTCATTAAGCATGCTTTTGGAATTCATCCATGTTGAATTGAAATGCTTATGAGTTCATTCTTTAATATTTTTCAGATCTGGTAAGCTCTACTTTTTAATTGGGATGTTTAGACCATTTACATTTAATGCAGTTATTGTTATCACTTAGTTTACCATCTTGATATCTATTTTCCCATTAGTTCCATCTTCCTTTTATCTTCTGGATCAATTGTTTTTTTCCCCACTACTGCTTCCATTTTATTTCCACTGTTGGATTATTATCTATATGTCTTTTTCTGTGTAATTATTCTAGGTGAGGGAAAAATGCAGGTTCCCCAACACATAACACGTGCTAGCTCAGAGTGCTTGGCAAAATTGTTACAAAGTAGATTAAACCGGTACCAAGATAACTATTGGGCCTAGGAAAAGTGCCCCGCACTTTTCTTGGATGCCTCAGAACTTTCTTACCCTGAAATGGCTGGCTCCAAACTGGCCCTGACTGCTTTAGAGCTGCTTTGGGTGTCCTGTAATGCCCTTTAGTTAACTGTAATACTAAAATCCCTGCCTAGTGGGAAATTGTAATACCATTACCATAGCATGGGTTGTATGACAACATATGATGGTGGTACTACACCTGCATGATATGTTTATGAACAAACAAAGATACAATGTAAAAATTTTACATTATTCATTGGGAAGAGATTTAAGGCAACACAGGGTGGGGAGATGCAGATTTTTCATGCAAGAAAGCTCCTGTGGAAGAAATTCCTGTACCACCTAGGAGCAAGTGTCCTAGTAAGTAACCTCATCTAACTTGTCAAGCTGTTCTTGTGTGGAGTCATTCTTTGATTGCTCAGTTCCCTCTGTTTGGGGATGGTTTTTCTGTAAAGTCCTGGGATTTTCACGAAACACTTGGGTTTACAATATACATCTCTAACTTACAACAGTCTACCTTAAAGTAATATACCACTTCACATATGGTATAAAAACTATACAACAATATACTTCCGTTTCCCTTTGTCCTCTGTGCTATATTATTCTCATACATTTTAGTTTTACTTATGCTCTAAATCCATAAAACATTGATTTTTTTTATGCTTTAAGTAGTAAATCTTTTTTTTTAAATACTTTTTAGAATAAGTTTAGATATTTAGAAAAGTTGCAAACATAGTACAGAGATTCTTTACGTCCTTTACCCAATTTCCCCTAATGTTAACATCTTACACGACTATAGTACATATGTCAAACTAAGAAATTAACATTAACACATTAATAACTAACCTATGTACTTTATTCCGGTTTCCACTTTTTCCAAAGAGATAATTATGCTTTAAAAGATACAGTATTTACCCACAGATTTACCATTTCTGGCACTCTTCATTTCATTGTATAGATTTAAATTTCCATTTTGGTATCATTTTCCTTCTACCTAAAGAACTTCCTTTAACATTAGTTAGTAGTATAGATTTGCTGGCAAGGAATTCCTTCAGCTCTTGTTTTTTTGAAAAGCCTTTACTTTATCTTCATATTTGAGATATTTTCTCACTGGCTTAAGACTTCTAAGTTGACTTTTTTCCTTTCAGTCTTTAAAGATGTCTCATTTGCATAGATCTGAAGAAAAGTCTACTACTGTCTTATTTCTGTTAGTAATGTCTCATTTTTCTTTGGCAACTTTGGCTTATGAAGTGCTGTTTGTATTCAATTAAGCTTGGGCCTATGGGCCTATAGTTTCCATCAAATTTAGAAAATTTACAGTCATTGTTTCTTTGAATATATATTTTTCTGCCTCCACACACTCTCTTCTCCTTCTTAGACTTTAATTTAACTTTATTAAGCCAAATTGCATTATTCAACATGTTACCGACGCTCCATTTATTTTTTCCAATTTTTTTCACTCTACACTTCATTTGGGGTATTTTTATTTCAATGTCTTCAAGTTCACTGGTCTTTCCTTCTATCTAATCCATCTAGTAGATTTTTATTTCATATATTTTTCATATCTAGAAATTTCATCTTTTTTTTTTTTTTAAAACCTTCGTCACTTTGAAAAATTTCATCTTAATTTTTAAAAAACACCTGCTTCTCTTAGCATGCTCATGTTTTCTTCTATAATGTTTGAACATAAAATGTCTTATTGTTTTTTTATATTTTTAATATTCTTGCCTGGTAAGTTCTAGCATCTCTGTCATTTCTGGTTTTGCTTTTGTTGATTGATTTTCCTCTGTATTAGAGGTTATATTCTCTTCTTTGCATGGCTGCTAATTTTTGATTGGACACTAGACATTGTAAATGTTACATAAATTGTTACTGGATTTTGTTGTATTAATTTAAATAGTGTTTTATTTCATTCTTGAGTGCAATTAGGTTACTTGGAACCAGTTCATTCTTTTTTGTTGTTATAGTTGAAACTGGGTCTATGTTGTCCAGGCTGGTCTTGAACTCCTGGCCTCAAGTGATCTTTTTGTTTCAGCCTCCTAAAATGCTGGGATCACAGGTGTGAGCCACCATGCCCAACTTAGTTCACTGTTTTGAGACTTACCAATAAGCTTTGTTAGGGCAGGTCCAGAGCAGCCTTTAGTCTAGGACTAATTTATTCCCAGTAAAAGATAAAACTCTTCTGACCACTATATCCAATGCCCCATGTAGTATGAGGTCTTTTCTACTCTGGCTGGTGGGAACTCAACTATTCCCAGACCTTTGTGAGCTCAAGAGATTGTTCTACCTATTCCTTTTCCTGGCCTTATGTAGGTTCCTCACATGTATATACCAATCAGTACTCAACCAAAGAATCAAATGGACTCTTATACAGGTATCTAGAGCTTTCCTCTCTGATACTCTGCCTTGCAAATTCTACCTGCCACAGCCTCCCTAAAGTCTGTATCCTCAACTCAGTGAGACCACCAACCTCTGTTTTATTCTCCCTGCACTGCAGCCTGGTGCCTGCCTCCATGCAATAATCTCATGGAATTGTGAAATTTCCTTCCTCTTAGGAATCTAAGTCCTATTTTGCCTACTATCTCATGTCTATGAAACACTGTTTTTCATGATAACATCCAGGCAGGAGGATAAATCTGGTATTATTTCCTTGCTAGTGAATTTTATTTAGGCAAATTTTTCAATAACAAAAAAAATTTTTTATTAATATTGTCACTATTTTGTCAGTCTTGTTTACTATGTATCTTTGCCCATGTTTTCTCCTGTGCATGTGTGTGTTAGGAAGAAGGGAGCATTGGGTTATTTTAAAGCAATCTGTGTAGGGTGACTTATAATTTTGTGCCATTCTTATCTTTCTCAGCTATAAATTAGAGACACTCTGGTTTAGAAGGAATCTTATTAAATGCTTGAAGAATCCCTTCTAGAATGGGGTCCAAGCTAAAGTTCACATACCACAGGGCTGAAAAACGGGCTCTGTGGTGCCCAGACACATATTTCTAAGGATAGAGTTCATAGCTTTAACCATATACTCAGAAAGATACCGAGAATCACTAATTATTAAGAATCACTGCTTTACAACATCCTCAACGAGAAACTCTTTTCTGCAAACTGAACTGCTATTTAAGTTTTACTGCACTAAATGAAACAATTCCAAAGCTAATTTTTTGGGAAACTGTACAATAAAGAATAATTTTCCAGTTAGATACTAAAATATATCATAAAAGAGTGTGATACTGATACAGGACCTGATAAACAGAAAACTGGAATGCAGAATAAAGTATGAAAGCAGACGCTTGCCTGTTTGGCATATAATAAAGGTGAAATTTCAAATCAGTGAGGAAAAGATGAATTATTAAACAAATGGTATCAGGAAAAACTTTTGAAAAAGTAACCACTTGAAAAAAGTTGAATCCCTATCTTATTTACAAAAATAGATTCAAGCTATATTGAAAATCTATAAACGTTCTAAAAGAAAATATGAGAAACTACTTTACAATCCTAAAGTGGGGAAGACCATCCTCTGCAAGACTACAATACAAAGGTTACAGACGAAAAGTTTTAACAGGTCTTTCTACATGAAACCTAAACATTCCTAAGGTTAAAAAAAAAAAAAACCTATAAATATAAAAAACATGTGAATATATTTCTAACATATATATTATAGTATTAATATCTTTATATATAGTTTCTACATATAAAAAAGACCAAAAGCCTAAAAGAAAAAATGAAAAGGTATATGAAATTATTACTAATAGTGGAAATACAAATAGATTATCTACACACAAAAAGATATCTTAATAGTAACTAGGAATAATAAATAAAATGCTACTTTTCATGTATAAGAGTGGCAAATATTTAAAAGAAGGATGACAACATTTCTATGCCAGCTAAGGTGGAGTTACTACTACTAAGTTTCCTACCACACACAACCACATAACTGGACAAAGCACATGAGGTAACTGTCTCCAGCGGCAAAGGGCAAACAGTAATTCTAAGCTCCCTACAGGTACAATATTTCAGCTCTAGTGCAATGAGCTGAAATAGTTCTGCTGAGCTTATTCAGGAAGTGTATGAAAATTTGGGGTATCCGAAGTTTTTGGAATCAGTGAGGCCGGGCAGAGAGGAGGGAACAG